TTTTTACAGAAATATAGTATCTGTAAACATAGACAAATCATTGACAAAAGCAGACAGTAGAGCAGAATCGTCTTAAGGAATTCAGCAATTTACACAACAAACCAGCAGCCAGTTGCTTCTACAATTGCTAATCAGTTGCTACTGGCGAAGCAAATTAATAAGTAAACTAATTGAAACAGATCAAATAGGTGTATGACTGAATGTTTCCTGTTGAACCAGGTATTTGGATAACACAGAGACCCCTAACTTAGACTCAGGGAGAAGGGAATATAGACAAGACCCAAGAACCTCCCCTAGGCTGCTAGCCCCAGCCGGAGAGGCTCCCACCTCAACTCACTGACTGTTTTTCCTTCAATTGCAGGATCCTGACAGTGATCAACCTCTGAACAGCCTTGGTAAGTTCAGGTCCGGCTTTCGTTTGTCCACCTTAGCCTCTGAGTTTCAGCTGCCAAGTAGATCCTAAGCCACTCTTGCCTGGCCCTCACCACCACCACCAAAGTGATAAATGCCATGGGTGACATCCAGCCACCTGTCTAACCATCACTCAGCAAACATTCCAGGATTCATTCTAGAAGCAGGAGGCCTGGTCTCTGGGGAAGCAGGACCAACAAACCTAAAATCACCAAAGCAATGATTCTCCAATTCATTCATTCAGTTACTCTTATTCTTTCACTAAAACTGTAAGTACCTGCCATGTGCCAGACCCTGGGCTAGACGCTGGCCTATCACAATAATTAAGACAGCTGAAGTCCCTGGTCTCATGGAGTTCACAGTCCCACTGTGCTGCCAAGGAACAAGCTGGCCAGAAGCATTTTCATGAAAAATGGCAGTGCTTGCCTGATTTCCAGGGGAAGAAAAATAAGTTAAAAAATAGAATGATCCCAAATTTAAGGAGGTGTTTTTCTTCCATTGCATTTTCTTAAACCATTAATATCTACTCCTGATAGCCTGCTAGATCAGCAAAACAGATGAGCAAGGAACACATTAATATGAACAGATCAGTGAGAAAATGGCCAATCCTGCTTGACAGGTTATTTATTTCCCAGTTCTGGGTCATGAGTTAACAATGACCACAGACGAAGTAATCTTTAGCAAGTAAAATGGTGCCTAGTTGATACTTTGGAATTTAATATAAGAGTAGGCCATGGTGTCCCCAAAGAACACCAGGGTGCCAGCTGCTCCACCACCTGAACAAGCCTGAGAACTCTCAAACCAGAAAACAAGCTGAGTTTGCTCGAGGAGTGAACGTACCTATGCAGAACTATGCAGCACTGGGGGTTGGCGAAGACTAGCAGTGGAAGTCCATTTGGCTCAGAGAGAGAGGCCAAATTACACTGGCTTTGAAAGACATAATCCAGATGTGGAAGTCTCTTGTAGGCCCTCGAGTAAGAAGTGACAGGATGAAAGCAAGCTTTTAGGAAGCTCTGTCTAGCTGCGGTGGATAGGACAGGCTGGAGGGAGGAACAATAGCTGGCAAAGAGGCTGTTCATAGCTCACTGTGTTCGTTAACTTAAACTAGGTATGAAAGCTCTTTCCTTCCTAGTGGGGGAAGCAGATGCTCCCCGAGAATATCTGGGCCTGGACACAGGAACCCAGGGATCCCCATGGGTCACTCACTCTTGGAGAAAACAAACCAATCTCATGTTTCCAGAGGTAGGTGCTCAATAAATAAATCATGCATGAATTCATGAACAAAATGTCATCATAGTCATGGCCACAGGAAAGAGGACAATTCTGAAGACTGGCTGCTGGAACTTTAAAAACAGTATCAACAAATATTACTGATAAGCTACTTTGTGCCAGGTCATAGTTTATGGGCAATACCATTCCAGTCCACATCCCCACTGCCTGGCTTCTGTGTCTGAAGTTAAAACTCTCTTTTGGGGAAACACAAAGTGTCCTAAGCTTTCCTTTGTCAACAGATTCATTAGTACTGGCATTCACTGGGTGCCAATCTCTGGCAGGATGCCATTCTCTGCTTTTGAAGAGCTGAGGAAAGAAATAGAGCCAGACATGTGATTAGCCATCATTCAAGGCAGAATAAAATGTGACCTGTAAGAAAGGTAGAAGGGGCCGGGCATGGTGGCTCATGCCAGTAATCCTAGTACTTGGGGAGGCCAACGTGGGTGGATTGCTTGAGCCCAGGAGTTTGAGACCTATCTGGGTAACATGGTAAAACCCCATTTCTACAAAAAATATGAATGCTAACTGGGTGTGATGCCACATGCCTGTAGTCCCAGCTACTCAGGAGGCTAAGGTAAAAGGATGGCTTGAGCCCAGGAGTTAGAGGTTGCAGTGAGCCAAGATCATGCCACTGCCCCTGCACTCCAGCCTGGGCAGCAGATTCCGTGAATGAGAGAGAGAGAGAGAGAGAGAGAGAGAGAGAGAGAGAAGGGGAGGGGAGGGGAGGGGAGGAAAAGAAAAAAGAAAAGAAAAGAAGTAGGTAGTAGAAGGGATGTGCTTAAGAGAACAGAGCCAAGAAAAATTCATCTGTTCATGTGACAAATATTTGTTGAGCAATTACTATGGACCAAGCACTGTTCTCGGTACCAGGGATTCAGCAGTGAACAAAACAGACAAGTTCTGTCTTCAACGAGTCTTCATTTCATGGAAGGGTGGGAGGAGACAGAAAATATGTCAAATATAGCATATGTTAGAGGCGATGCGTGCTTTGGAAGAAAAGAAAGCAAGAAAGGAGGATAGGAAGGTTTGGAAGGCTCCATTTTAAATAGGGAGATCCAGGTAGGCCTCACTGTGAAGGTGACAGTGAAGAAAGACTGGGAGGAGGAGAGGGAGCCAGCCATGTGGAGGTGAGGGCAGGACAGCCGGTCCGTTGCTTTGCAGGATTTCCAGAATTCTTGCCCCAGCTCCCCAGGGGAGAAGTCCCCATGGCACCTCCCCAGCTTATTTCCCACAAGGAGAGGGAGACTTAAAAGAATGTATCTCTGACACTTACTGATATTAATTTTGCCTATGTTTTCCCTTTCAAGTTCCTTCTTCTTGGATAATGATGTGCAATTGACAATGTAGTTATTATCACCTCTGTTCTAGGCAGTGATCAACTCCTACCTGGTCTCCCTAACCCCAGACTGTCTTGTTCCAATCCATCTCCTCTCTGATGAAAGATCCATCTTTCTTTTCGTTTTTGGAGATGGAGTCTTGCTCTTGTCACCCAGGCTGGAGTACAATGGCACGATCTCTGCTCACTGCAACCTCCACCTCCTGGGTTCAAGCGATTCTCCTGCCTCAGCCTTCCGAGTATCTGGGATTACAGGCATGCACCACCATGCCTGGCTAATTTTTATATGTTTAGTAGAGCCAGGGTTTCACCATGTTGGCCAGGCTGGTCTTGAACTCCTGACCTCAGGCGAGCCACCCACCTTGGCCTCCCAAAGTGCTGGGATTACAGGCGTGAGCCACCACACCCGACTAGATCCATCTTTCTAAAATTAATTTGATCCTGTCTCTCCACTGTTCAAAAACTTTCAACGGCTCCTCACTGCCTTCAGGATAAAACTCAGACTCCTTAGCATAGTGTTCAAGAGTCTCCACAGCTGCCTTCACCCGTCCTGCCTTCCAACTTGCCTTTATTCCCCTGGTACACCAGGCACACCAGGCAGCTTACAGGCCCCCTCCATGCCTCTGACTGAGCTGAGCCAGTGCCTCCCTCCCGACCTGCACTTAAGTGCCACCTGCTGAGGAGGCTTTCACCAGCTTACCTTTGAAGATGCCTCTATTATAACATATATTATCTTCCACCTGGCTGGACTGGCATCTGTGTCTGCCTCTTCCCCCAGATGGTAATCTCTTTAAAGACAAGGACCAGGCTGGGACTTGCTGTTTGTGGGATTGAAGATGCATTGATTCGCAAATGTTTATTAAGCCTCTACTAAGCACGCACTGTGCTGGAGGGCCCTGCCTCCCGGAAGCTTAATGTTTAATCAAAAGCTAAGTCAGGAGGTCAGGAAAAGGATAAATGGTGGCACAGTGAATGGGTACATGCTCCAGGGGCTCAGGCCTCTCTCGGGCAGGCAAAGGTCAGACGAAACCCAGAAATGTCCTGGGACAGGCTCAGGCAAGACACAGGGGAGGCGGCCTGGCTTGGGGTCTCCTTTGAGGGGCACTCATGAACGATAAGTGAGCCTGGATAAGTGAGAAGAGGCAGGGTAACCATGTGCTGATGAAGCTAAGCCTTGTCTGCAGGAATAACCCCCCAGCATTAACCAAAACTGTCCTCAAGGCATTGCTGTCACCGGCCAGAGGGCGGCAGGCTGTGGAGTTTGGCTCAGGGACTACCAAGTGCTGACGGCATGCTCTCCCCTCTGCCTCCCACCTTCCTACAGATGTCAACCCCCTGCGCAAACCCCGTACCCCCATGGAGACCTTCAGAAAGGTGGGGATCCCCATCATCGTAGCACTACTGAGCCTGGCGAGTATCATCATTGTGGTTGTCCTCAGTAAGTGACAGCCCCTACCCGACTTTCACCCTCTAAGTAAATGACAGGGCCCACCCCCCCACCCCCACACTCACCCCCTGAATAAGTGACAGTCCCCCACCCCTGCCCACTCACCCCCTGAATAAGTGACAGTCCCCCACCCCTGCCCTCACCCCTTCAGTAAGAGGCAGTCCCCCACCCCTGCCCTCACCCCTTCAGTAAGAGGCAGTCCCACCCCTGCTCTCACCCCCTCAGTAAGAGGCAGCCCCGCCCCTCCCATCATCACCTCATAAGTGGCAGCCCCTACTTGTCCTTCACCCCCTCAGTAAGTGGCAGCCCCCACCCCCACAGTCAGGGGCAGGTGATCTGCATAAAGCTTTGCAGAAAAAAAAAATCATTGGTATAATAAAAGGAATTTGAGGAGGAAAAAAGAGGAAGAGAAAGAGAGAAAGAAAGAAAGAGAGAAAGAGAGAAAGAGAGAAAGAAAGAAAGAAAGAAAGAAAGAGAGAGAGAGAGAGAAAGAGAGAGAGAAAGAAGGAGAGAGAGAAAGAAAGAAAAAGAAACCATATGTATCCACCCCCTGCTTTGAAGAGAACCTTATTCTAAGAGTGAAAGGGGAGATGAACTCAGCCCCCATCTATTCCAGATGGCTTCTATCCCAGGTGACTTCTTCTAGAGGGAGCGCACAGTGGCACATGTTCCTAACCCACGCAGGCAATTTGCAGGGCCGCCACGCCCCCTGCCCCCTCCTTCCCATCTTCTGCAGATTGCAAGCTGAGTGGCTCTGAGCAGCGGCTGGAAGAACAGGGAGAGTTTCTGCTTGTGAGGAGGGGAGAAAGAGGAGGCAGCAGAGAAGACCCCCCAGGCAGCTGGCACCTGGCCCCCTTCAGCCTGGCCTTCACCATGGCTAGTGCCTGAGGCCCAGTGTGGTCTTGAGCAGGCCTCTCTGCCTCAGGCCCTTATCCGTGATAAAGAAGATTCAACTGAAGGAGCAGGGATGTGGGTCGTTTTCGGCTCCCACATCTTATGATGGAGTCATTGCCTTTGTTATCCACATGAGCACAGCAGGTTACTGACTGCAACTTTTCACAGCAAGAAGTAGGGCACTGGGGACCAGACTAGGAATCAGGACACCTGAGACAGGGATCCTGGCTCTGCCACTTGCTGCTGCGTGACCTTGAGTAAGTCCTTCACTGCCTCATACCCTCAGTCTCCTCACCTGTAAAATGTCCTTCCTCCCTCAAAGCAATATCCGGAGCACCAATGAGATAACATACGTAAACGACCAAGCTAAAAACCAAGTTTTGCAAAAGAGCGTGTCATCACGCAGCAGCAGGCGAAATGTGACCCAGGACATGCATTTGCTAATTGGGGCAGGACTGCCTGTGCAGCCAGGGAATAGCTGGCCTTTCAGGAATCTGCACTTGTAACTGTGGTGACATTTCAAGCAGTAGCAGCCAACTGCCTGGTTGGAGGACACTGAGAGAGCCTCTGGTCCCCCTTCCACGCGAGCACCGAGGCTCGGAGAGGAGTAGCGGCAGTCAGGGTCAAGGCTGGGACAGGACCCCAGTGCCCTGATTGAACAGGTTCATTTCCATCTCGTGGCGGTAGAATGCAGAGCCACAACATAAACCCCACTCAAAGCCCTGGGAGCCCTGGATGGGTGTGAGATGCAGATGACCCCAAACCCTTTCTCCTTGGTCTTGGTTGCCCACACGATGGAGGTTTGCAGTGCCATCAGCAGACTTGCCATCCTGTTCTATTCAGGCTAATGTTGAAGTGAGCTTGCTTTCCATAAGCATACACTCTGCCGCAGTGGAGATAGAGGGGGCCAGAGTTATCCAGGGAAAGCCAGGCAGGCACTGAAGCATAATTTAGAGCTAGACACTCCCTGTCCCAGAAGGTCCGACATGGCTTCCACATCCTTGGCCCCCAGATTCTGTAATCAGAGGTTGTAACCCAGTCCTCCATCCTGGGCCAGGCTCCCTCAACCTATGGCTTCTGGAGTCTCAACTGGCAACGCTGTCTCCTGGATTTGTCCCAGGAGGCTGGGGTGACTCTGCCTCACTCTGGCTCCTGATCATAAACCAAACTCCAAAGAGCTAGGTAATACCTGGCTCCGCCGGGCGCGGTGGCTCAAGCCTGTAATCCCAGCACTTTGGGAGGCCGAGACGGGCGGATCACGAGGTCAGGAGATCGAGACCATCCTGGCTAACACGGTGAAACCCCGTCTCTACTAAAAAATACAAAAAACTAGCCGGGCGAGGTGGCGGGCGTCTGTGTTCCCAGCTACTCGGGAGGCTGAGGCAGGAGAATGGCGTAAACTCGGAAGGCGGAGCTTGCAGTGAGCTGAGATCCGGCCACTGTACTCCAGTCTGGGCCACAGAGCCAGACTCCTTCTCAAAAAAAAAAAAAAAAATACCTGGCTCCTCCTTCTCCCTTGCTTCACTCAAGCCAGGAGCATCAGGGCCAGCGATCACATCTCAAGCTTCCCCAGAGAGTTAGATGGGCCCTGGCTATACACTGGAAGCACTGTGTGCCCTGGGAAAATAAAGCCTGACCTTCAATTCTCCATGTCCCTGTTTGTAATGTGAGTTAGTAATAACACCTCCCTCCCAAGACTGTTACCAGGATTACATGAGGAAATGTATGGAAAGCTCCTAACACAGTGACAATCAGGGACCATTATTAGATTTAATGCCACTACTCTTAAGACCAGCCCAGGATGATACTGGACTGGAGAGGGACCCATCAGGCCAAGAGAGAATTCAGTTACGAAGGAGGAGTCCCCTCCTGCCAGGGTGTTTGGCTATGAGTCTTCACTAAGGAAAAGTTTGTTTGTTTGTTTGTCTGTTTGTTTGTTTGCTTGAGACAAGGTCTTACTCTGTCTCCCAGGCTAGAGTGTAATCATGTGATCACGGCTCACTGCAGCCTCAAACTTCTGGGCTCAAGCAATCCTCCTGCCTCAGACTCCCAAGTTGCTGGGACCACAGGGGCACACCACCATGCCTGGCTAATTTTTTTTATTTTTATTTTGGAGAAACAAGGATCTCACTATGTTGCCCAGACGGATCTTGAACTCCTGGGCTCGAAAAATCCTCCTGCCTTGGTACCCCAAAGTGCTGGGATTACAGGTGTGTACTACCATGCACGGCCAGAAAAAGTGTTAAAATATCAGTTCCCTGAAAGATTAAACACACTCGACATCTTTCCATCATCCCAAGATGGCAAAAGAACAACAGAATTCAAAAGCAGCTGGCAGAATCTAAAGACAGCAAAAGAAACAAAAAAACCAAGGACCAAGCCCTTAACAGATCTTTCTCTTTTTTTCTTAATTTCAGTTATTTTTTATATATATTTTAATTACCTTTTTTGTTCAACTTTTATTCTAAGTTCTGGGGTACATGTGCAGGACGTGCAGGTTTGTTACATAGGTAAGCGTGCCGTGGTGGTTTGCACTGATCAACCCTTCACTGAGGTATAAAGCCCGGCAACCATTAGCTATAATTCCTGATGCTCTTCCTGCCTCTGCCTCCTGCCCGACAGGCCCCAGAGTGTGTTGATCCCCCTGCATGTGTGCATGTGTTCTTATCTTTCAACAGTTCTTTCACCCAGATAAAAGCACCCAACTCTAGAACTATACTTGATAGTTACGAGACATTTTCACAACTACCATCATACCACATGCTCTCAACAGCCCTGTGAGGCAGATATTATAGATACTATCATCCCATTGTACAGATGAGGAAACTGAGAACTAAGGAAGGAAAGTGATCCGTATACAGTTGGACAGTATGGCTGGGCACAGTGACTCATGCCTGTAATCCCAGCACTTTGGGAGGCCGAGGCAGGTGGATCACCTGAGGTTGGGTGTTCGAGAACAGCCCGGACAACATGGTGAAACCCCATCTCTACTAAAAATACAAAAAATCAGCTGAGTACGGTGGCACGTGCCTGTAATCCCAGCTACTCGGGAGGCTGAGGCAGGAGAATCACTTAAACTTGGGAGGCGGAGGCTGCAGTGAGCCAAAACCCCGCCACTGCACTCCAGCCTGAATGACAGAGCGAGACTCCATCTCAAAAAACAAAAAAGTTAAGTTCCACGGTAGGTGGCAGAGCTAGGACTCAGAACTGGGTCTTCAGACTCTGGGTTCCCCCTCTGTTACCAGAACGTACTGAGCCAGCACTGGGGGTAAGAGGCAGGTACCAGCCTGTTTCTCAATTTCTCCCACACATGTGACCTCTCTTGATCCTCAGACATCATGTGGGTATGGGGCCGGTGTTACTATCTCCATTTTACAGACAAGGAAGCTGAGGTTCAGGCCAAGTCTATGTGCTACCAAATAGCAGAACTGAGCCTGGAACTCACACATGCGTCTGAGAGCCCAGCATCATCGCCAGGAAAACCCAGCCTCTCCCTACTCAAGCCTGACCCTCAGCTCTCTCTGCCCTTCCCTGCACTTGCCTTCCAGTCAAGGTGATTCTGGATAAATACTACTTCCTCTGCGGGCAGCACCTCCACTTCATCCCAAGGAAGCAGCTGTGTGACGGGGAGCTGGACTGTCCCTTGGGAGAGGATGAGGAGCACTGTGTCAAGAGCTTCCCCGAAGGGCCTGCAGTGGCAGGTGAGTGCAGGGTCTGAGGGACAAGAGGAGTGGGCCCAGCAGGAGGTCTGCTCAGGCCCCCATGGCCCACTGCATAGTATCTGCCACCTACTTGTCACTGTTCATCCTTGTTGTATAAGGTTCTTTTTTGTTTGTGTGTTTTTGTTTTTGTTTTGAGGCAGAGTGCTCTGTGGCCCAGGATGGAGTGCAATGGCTTGGTCTCGGCTCAGTGCAACCTCTGCCTTCCAAGTTCAAGTGATTCTCCTGCCTCAGCCTCATGAGTAGCTGGGATTACAGGTGCCAGCCACCACGCCTGGCTAATTTTTATATTTTTAGTAGAGACGGGGTTTTGCCATGTTGGTCAGGCTGGCCTCGAACTCCTGACCTCAGGTGATCCACCCATCTTGGCCTCCCAAAGTGCTGGGATTACAGGCGTGAGCCACTGTACCCTGCTGTATAAGTTTCTTGAGAGCAGGACTGTGTCTTGTCTACCTTTAAATCCCAGTACTTAACACACAGCAAACAGTAACTATTTGATGAACAAATGTGAGCCAGAAAGGACAGGCAATTGTAACTGAACCTGCCCCATGCGTGCTGCGCCTGGGTGGATTTCAGGCAGAGGGCTAGACGGGGTGACCTTGGAGCATTCCTCCTTTCTATGAGATCTGTTATTTCAAGGAGACTAGAAAAGAGACTTCTCAGCCACTTTGCCAGCTATTGGTCCTTCTATTCTTTAGTGTTTGCTGAGATGCACTATGTGACAGGACTGAGCCAGGTCGTTTCAATGGATAGGTGTTTTGAGCATAAAACCCACATTCTCTCTTGGGCTAGACTCTTCTACCTTCATCCCCCTGGTGCTTGGGCTCTGAAGAAATAAAGATAGGTAGGAGATGAGTGATGGGGCTTCTGAGGGCAGGGCTGAGTGACTTCCTGTGTATTTGCTCTTTCTTTATCAGAAATCAAATGCCTGTCAAATGCCCTTATCAGAAGTCAAATGCACCTGTCATCCTACTGCCAATAGGACTTCTCACTCAACCTCCCCCTCTGACCTTTCTTGGAGAAGGACCTAGGTCCCTCTCTGAGACATTTCCCCAGGCTGAGCAAGTTGCATGGACCATGGATGGGTATGTGGTCCATACAATTTAAACAAGTTGTATATGGTCTCTGGGTAGAGTGACCACATAATTGATCATCAAAACTGATACCTGTAAGAGCAAAAGGGGGCTCTATTAACCATTGGGCCAGGGCAACAGGTCAAAACAGAGACTGACTCCGGGACGTCTGGTCACACTAGCTACTGTCAAAATGGGGCCCAAATAGACAAAGCCAAATGGAGTAAATTCCCTTGACATTGAAAGTGTTGGGGCTCTATGGTACCCCCAGTTCTAGGCTGGGGGAGGTTGGACTGATCTCATGATGAATTCTGAGGGGGATGGGCCAGATGGGCCCCTCCTTCCATCTAACCCAGGTTCTTTTCCTCCTAGTCCGCCTCTCCAAGGACCGATCCACCCTGCAGGTGCTGGACCCGGCCACAGGCAACTGGTTCTCTGCCTGTTTTGACAACTTCACAGAAGCTCTGGCCGAGACAGCCTGCAGGCAGATGGGCTACAGCAGGTAACCAACCTGAGCCTCTCTCCTTTTTCCCTTCTTCCTCTTTCCTCCTCTTCCTCCTTTCCTTCCTCCTTTCTTCTCTCTTTCCTAAAAAATACAGGCATTGGAGCCAGGCAGAATGGCTTTTGAATCCCAGCCTTTCACTTATAAGCAACATGAAGTTAAATTTCCTAAGCCTCAGGTTTCTCAGGAGTGAATTGGGGGAAGTAATACCAACCTCATAGTACCCCCTCCTTCTAGATTGGAGGCCCTTCTTGTCCTAGAACCATGTGCATTTCAAGATGTGGAAGACCCTAGGGATCATCTAGTCCATGCATCATAGGATGGTTTTGGAACGCCAGTGAGAGAATGTGTGCTGCCCTCCAACACACACACACACACACACACACACACACACAACTTCTAGCTTCTTGTGCAGTCCTCTCCTTTCCTTTACTCCTCAACCTTCACTCCTTTGTCCTGACTTTGCCAGAAACTGTTCCTGCCCAGTAATACAAAAGCCAAGTTAACTTATTCAAAGTTTCGTTGGTTAAGATTTAGCTTAAGTGAGCCTAGTTTCAGTGGGGCCCCATCTTCGGCAATCCCAGCTCTCTCTGCAAATTTCAAAAGCAGTTCCAAATTTGGAGTGGATGAAAAGGTGTAAGATTATAATAAGAGTAATCTGCATTTTATATATTTATATTCTTTTGATTTTGGCAGAAACCCAAAAAGATAGTTATTATATCTATTTCATAAATAGGCTCAAAGAAAGTAAGTAACTTGCTAGAGTAGTAGTTGGGAGGTAGAGGGCTAGAATTTGAGCCCAAGATCCCTAATTCTTGCATATTAGGAGTTCTCATAGTGTTTCTGTTTCTACACTGGGTGATTCTTTATTCTCATGTAGGACATCATCTATAAAGGAAGGGGCTGATGAGATGGTTGATCACTCAGAGAGTTTAGCTGGAGAGGATGGAAAGGAACCCATGCATTCAGTTGCAGAGTAAGATAACCTATCTCTGGCAGGCCTCAAACTTCTTCAGGATTCTAAGAGACTGGACCCAGAGACTAGGCCAAAAACAAAAACAAAAACAAAAACATCTCTACCAGGCAGACATCACCAATCGATCACAGAACTCTCTCCCATGGATCCCTCATGCAGCCTCAAAGTGCTTTTTCAGTAAATGCTCCAGGCAGCCATTACAAATCAATCAGAATTATTTGCCTCTCTCTTCTCTGCTCATCAGGCTTCTGCTGCTCTCTACTCTCCACAGGGGGCAACTTCCAGTACCCTCCAGAAAGCACACCCCGCCACCTTCATTTCAAGGAGAGTGAGGAAGTCATGCCCGGCACCTGCTATTCTCCCCTCTTCCCACAGCCACTGAGCCCAGCCTCGCTGCAGCCAGCCCCCGCTTCCCACTGTAGTCTAGTCAATTGCTGCGTCAGCCGTCAGCCGTACCTAGCACAGCAGGCTGAGGCTTGATTATGAAACGCAGGTGTCTCCAGAGGATCTTAAGGTGATAGGTTCCTGGAATTTCTGTCCTTTTGGAGCTCACTAAGGCACCAAACCACCTGACTCTTGTGCTTTACAAAAGCAAAGTTCATCAGAATCATTCATTGGGATGGAATTGGTGAACAGAAGTTAACTTTCCTGGGAATGTCCATTTCCACCATATTTCCTCCTTCTAGGTCTCAGATTTCTCTACTTTCTTTCCTCCTCCTAGATTGGAGGCCCTTCTTGTCCTAGAACCATAGGCATTTCAAGATGTGGAAGACCCTAGGGGTCATCTAGTCCTTGCATCTTTTTTTTCTTTTTTTTTTTTGACAGAGTCTCACTCTGTCACCCAGGCTGGAGTGCAATGGCGCTATCTCAACTCACTATAACCTCCACCTCCCAAGTTCAAGTGATTCTCTCACCTTAGCCTCCTGAATAGCTGGGATTACAGGCACTCACCATCATGCCCGGCTGATTTTTGTATTTTTGTAGAGACTGGGCTTCACCATGTTGGCCAGCCTGGTCTTGAACTCCTGATCTCAGGTGATCCATCCACCTTGGCCTCCCAAAGTGCTGGGATTACAGGCATGAGCCACTGTGCCCAGCCCCATGCATCTTTTTATAGAGGGGGAAACTGAGGCTTAGAGAGACCCAGGAAAAGAATGTGACCTGCCCAAGACCACACATCAAACTAGTGCCAGAACCAGGGACAGAACCTAGATTATGAGGACTCTTAAAATGGACTCTAGTCCTCCCAGGTCCGAGTCCTCCCTGGGTCCTTCCAGGAAGTGCCAGCATTCCTACCTGAGAATGTGCCAAACCACCAGTATCATGGATTGACCCACCCCTCCATGGAGAGCTTCTGCTAGCATTACTAGCATGGTTGGGGATGGAAGGAAAAGATTTAGAAGAGGCAGATTCAGTAAAGGAACAATCAGAGAGATGGAATTAATCAGGGAAGACTTCCTGTTGGAGGAAAAACTTCAACCCAAGGTTTGAAAGCAGGCAAGCGTGGATTAGCAGAGAGAAAGAGGGAGGGTGGTCCAGTTGAGATAACCGTTTGTTTGGATTCTCACGAAGACAATCCAGTCCTGTTCTATTAAATAGCCCTAAGGGGGCCAAAAGTATACTCCCACTATTAAAGTCAAACCAGATGCCTTGTTTGGAGAACCAAATATCCACATTCCAACTCCCTCCCAGGTGAGAAGGGAGCTAACCTGGGCCCCTATGCCTCTTTGTTTCCCTGCTGTGAACCGGAAGACATTGCTGGGATATTTGAAATAAGGGCAGAGCCGGGAGTTTGGAAAGGAGACCCTTAACATTTCTCCAGGGCTCTGGGTTCTGGATTTGGAGTCCCTGCCCAAGAAAGCAAGTTACATCAGCACAGCACCAAGGGTTGAGTCCTGGGATGCCAAGGATATATTCTTTATTGTATAGCAAAGCAAGCCCCATCTTCACTGACTAAGACCACCTCCACTCCCTGGCCACTCCCCACCAGGCATTCTCCGCCACCCTGTCTCCTGAGAGTGGGAGCCAACTCTACCATCTTGTTCTAACCCCCTGCCCCAGCTCACAACTCTCTCTCTCTCTCTCTCTCTCTCTCTCTCGATGTGAGCAGCAAACCCACTTTCAGAGCTGTGGAGATTGGCCCAGACCAGGATCTGGATGTTGTTGAAATCACAGAAAACAGCCAGGAGCTTCATGTGAGGAACTCAAGTGGGTAAGTGAGGAAACACCTTCTGGCCTACAGAAGGCCCCCACATGGATGCTGCTCTTCAGGTTGCAACCAGCTCACCTGGAACCCTAAGCAGCCAGGAGAATATAAGCCAGACATCAGGAAGAACTCCTAGCCAGACAGATCATTCAATGCTAAGAGCTATAGACTCACATTTTGGAGAGGTTTTCTGTGTTGACTTGTTTTTAACACAATGGACAGCTGGACAAAGTGTGTTGTCCTGTTCAAAGTCAGAGGGATGGATAATGTGACCTTTCCATCAATCTGGATAGTAAATAGTTTTTGCTACTGCCGTAAATTTTCTAATAAATTGCCCAATAATCAAGATTCCAAAGTCACTTTGTCCTTCCCCACCACTTACCCAGCCAGAGCTCCCCACCTTCTTGATGCTCCAGGGAAGAGGCTCCACCGCCCTTGTGGGTGGCCCATTCCTGAGCCTCATCACCCTGCTTTAGAGCAGAGCATCCAGTTGAAATCTGTCACGTTGTGGCAAAGCGGTTCAGAGAGGAGGCTGGCTTCTTAGCATTCAGGGATGTTGCTGAGGGCCGCTTATTCACCTGTGGGGAAAAGAAAGAGAGATCAGACTGTTACTGTGTCTATGTAGAAAGAGGTAGACATAAGAGACTCCATTTTGTTCTGTACTAAGAAAAATTCTTCTGCCTTGAGATGCTGTTAATCTATAACCCTACCCCCAACCCTGTGCTTGCAGAGACATGTGCTGTGTTTACTCAAGGCTTAATGGATTTAGGGCTATGCAGGATGTGCTTTGTTAAACAAGTGCTTGAAAGCAGTATGCTTGTTAAAAGTCATCACCACTCTCTAATCTCAAGTACCCCAGGGACACAATACACTGCGGAAGGCCGCAGGGACCTCCGCCTAGGAAAGTCAGGTATTGTCCAAGGTTTCTCCCCCTGTGATAGTCTGAGATATGGCCTTGTGGGAAGGGAAAGACATGACCATCCCCCAGCCCAGACACCAGTAAAGGGTCTGTGCTGAGGAGGATTAGTAAAAGAGGAAGGCCTCTTTGCAGTTGAGATAAGAGGAAGGCATCTGTCTCCTGCTGTCCCTGGGCAATGGAATGTCTTGGTGTAAAACCCAATTGTATGTTCTATTTACTGAGATAGGAGAAAACCGCCTTAGGCTGGAGGTGAGACTTGCTGGTGGCAGTACTGCTCTTTAATGCAGCAAGATGTTTATGTATGTGCACATCAAAGCACAGCACCTTTTCTTAACCTTGTTTATGACACAGAGACATTTGTTCACATGTTTTCCTGCTGACCCTCTCCCCACTATTACCCTATTGTCCTGCCACATCCCCCTCTCCGAGATGGTAAAGATAATGAGCAATAAATACTGAGGAACTCAAGAGACCCGGTGCAGGTGGTGTGGTGCAGGTGGTGCAGGTCCTCTGTACGCTGAGCGCTGGTCCCCTGGGCCCACTTTTCTTTCTCTATACTTTGTCTCTGTGTCTCTTTCTTTTCTCAAGTCTCTCGTTCCACCTGATGAGAAATGCCCACAGGTGGTGAAGGGGCTGGTCCCCTTCATTCACTGAAAGTAAATCTTGAAATGGACAGGATTGGTCCAGAATGATCCTTTGCCTAAAATTCCTTCAAAATTCCATTCCTCCATTTGGAAAGCCCGCAGTGCCACAGACTCTGTTCTGGGATCTGCCCTCTTCCCTCTTGGGTCCCAGGAGCCCAGGCTGGGCTTTGAAGCAGGCAGGGCCCAGTGCACCATAGGTACTCAGCAGTGGGGGTGTTGAATCCAATCAAATGGAAGTGTCAATGCAGGAAATGCAATGGATGTCAATGCGCTCTCCACATGTTCCCCACTGTGCAGCTTCCACATTCCCCAGGTATTGGGAGGGGACTTGAATTAATAGCATTGGGAGGCTTAAGTCCCTACCTCCCAGCTGAGCAAGAAGCTTAAATCACAGGGTGCTGTGTCTGTTTTCCAGGCCCTGTCTCTCAGGCTCCCTGGTCTCCCTGCACTGTCTTGGTGAGTACTCCCAATCTCTGAGGGTTTGGGGCCTGGGCCAGCAATGAGCAAGGAGGAAGACCTTCATCTTCACTCCTAAATTTCTGGGACTCCAAGTTTCATTCTGCCTTGGTCTATAGCCCTTGGGCTTGCAAGTCAATGCCCCCTCGAGTTGTTGGTGGCCTTGGGCAGGTCACTTTCTTTTTCTGGGTCTTTCCAAGCCTCAGTTTCCCCCTTCTACCATCTGTGCATGGCTCCACAACCTAAGTGGAGACCTGGGAGAGAGCATTAGGAAGACTGAAAAGGGCAGGACGGGGCCTCCACTGCCTACCACCCCGGTCAGGACCTACATAGCCTTCTTCATCACAATCAGCTCAGGTATCCAAGATTAGATTACCCACATTCAATATTTAAGCAAATATTCATTGAACAGTTAGAATATGTCTCACTCTGTCAGTTGTTGGCTAGTAGTAGAAAGTACCAGATGAGTGAAATAATTGGCCACTATCCTCAGTAGCTTATGACTAAGTAAGAGAGAGATGCAAGACAGCATGTGGAAAATGCCAGACTGAGTAGCAGTCACAGTGGACATGCTACAGAGAGAGCTGGACAGGGGTCAGAAGACCTGGGCACCAGTCCCGTTCACTTCCAGTGTGGCCTCAAGTCATTCACCTGACCTTCCTGAAGTTCATTTTCCCAAGAGGTTGTTTAGTCCAGCTGCCCATCAAGGATCTCTAGGGACCCTTCTAGCTCTAACAGAGGAGATCAGAGAAGAAAACAAGCACTGTGGCTCATCTCATCCTACCAGCTTCACAGAGAACTGAGACTGGCCTGGAAGGATAGCCAGAAATTAGAACACCTAAGGGAAGAAGGTCACAATGCTGCCTCTGCAATTTAGGAGTGTGTATGCTTCCCTGTAGGATGTTGAGAGTTTCATTCATTATCACATGCCCCCCACTCCGACCCCACAATACCTAGTGTGTGGGATCTGACACGTAGTGGTTGGTCAATGAATGAATGAACAAATGGCCAGACCATTAAGGTTCTGCACTGAGTAGCCCTGAAGGCATAAAGGAGCATAAGTGACAGGTCCTCCCTTGTGGGGCCTCTGTTTTACCAAGAAAACAAGACCTAAACTCAACAACACTGAAAGGGTGGCCAACACCCAGAACAGCCTGTGGGAATGCCAGAGAAAGGGAAATTCCCAGGGACTGGGGGCCCAGGCTAAACACTGAAAAATGCATCTGTAGGTTCAAGGAGGAAAAGCCCATGTTGTCTGTCTTGCCTGCCACTCTCTCCCAGCACCCAGCACTGCCCCAAGACACGGCACTTGACACAAATTGGTTAGATTAATGAATGATCTAGAATTCAGTGGTCCCCAACCTTTTTGGCACCAGGGGCTTGTTGCATGGAAGACAATTTTTCCACAAACCAAGAGGGGGTTAGAAAGCATTAGATTCTCTCTTTTTTTTTTTTTTTTTGAGACTGAGTCTCTCTCTTGTCACTCAGCCTGGAGTCCAGTGTTGCGATCTCGGCTCACTGCGACCTCCACCTCCTGGATTCAAGCAATTCTCCTGCCTCAGCCTCCTAAATAGCTGGGACTACAGGTGCCCGCCACCAGCCCAGCTGGGACTATAGGCATGCGCCACCACGCCTGGCTAATTTTTGTATTTTTAGTAGAGACGGCATTTCACCATGTTGGCCAGGCTGGTCTCGAACTCCTGACCTCAGCTGATCTGCCCGCCTGAGCCTCCCAAAGTGCTAGGATTCCAGACGTGAGCCGCCACACCTAGCCTAGATTCTCATGAGGAACGCACAGCATAGACCCCTCACATGTGCTGTTCACAATAAGGTTTGTGCTCCTACAGAATCTAATGCCACCTCTGATCTGACAGGAGGTGAAGCTCAGGTGGTCATGCTCACTTGCCCCTGCTGCTCACTTCCTAATGTGCAGCCAGGTTCCTAACAGGCCACGGACCAGTACTGGTTTGAGGTCCGGGGGTTAGGGTTTGGGGATCCCTGATTTCGAGAACTAGGAGAGGAGACAGCATTTCAATGGGAAGGGCATCTTTTTGGATCAAAAACAGAATGACTTTTTAGAGAACTACAAGCAGATCAATTTGGCTAGACAGAGACTTTATATGAAACAACAGGAGGCTGCCAGGAGGAGTGGAAACTCTACTTTGCCCTCAAGGGAGATCCTGAAGGGCTTTGGGGGAGCGGGCAAGTTGGCATGGAGAAAGCAGTGTTTGAAATCAGATGGTGTTTGAAAAGCTCCAGGCCAGCACGGCGCCTGACACACAGGGAAGGGAAGCAGCCTTTCCCTTTAGAATGGCCACCATGGTGGTGGCTGCCAGAATTGGAGAGGCAGAGCATGGGTGGAGAGGTGGGACCTGAGGGCTTTACTGGAGTTCCAGGGGTCGGGGGATGTGAAAGCCAGGTCAGTTAATAGGAAGACAGGATGTTAGATTGAGAGACTCCCCTGGCACGGGGAACAGACTTGGAGAAGGGGGAGTTTGGGACAGTCCACTTCCGAGTCACAAAACAGCTTGTGGGTGTCTGTTTACTGTTACTCAGTGGGAGTGGCTGGGGACACGCCACCTAGGCAGGGCTTTCGTAATTCTGCATCACTTGGGAAGGTCACAAATTCCCAGCACAACGGGCACACCCGTGTTCGTAGTCTAACCTCCTGAACACATCTTAAACCAAAAAAAGAAAGAAAGAAAAAGAAAAAGGAGAGGGAGGTTTGGGGGAAGCCTATGGTCTGGGACACTCAATATCTCCCATGAATAACTCCAGTTGGCCTGGTCCTCTCCCCACTCCGGCACCAGCCAGAAGGTCCCTGCTTAGAGCACATGTTGGGTACTGAGGGGAGGCAGCCTCATCCCCCAAAGCCTGACTTCTTGCCTCTGCCTGTGTCCAGCCTGTGGGGAGAGCCTGAAAACCCCCCGTGTGGTGGGCGGGGAGGAGGCCTCTGTGGATTCTTGGCCTTGGCAGGTCAGCATCCAGTACGACAAACAGCACGTCTGTGGAGGGAGCATCCTGGACCCCCACTGGGTCCTCACAGCAGCCCATTGCTTCAGGTAAGGCCCCAGCTGTAAGGAGGTCTCTGGGGACCAAGGCCAGTCAGGGGCCAGAGAGCTTGGAGTCCTGTCTCCTGACACCCTCCTTCTCTTCACTCTCCCACTAGAGACGTTTGCCAGGGTGTGGTGGCCCCAATGAAACAATGGCCATGATGCCCTTTGTTAGGCATCTAGGTGTCTGAGCAGAGGGTACGGGTCACCAAGCATGGCCTCTTCCTGGTGGGACACCATCAGATACCCAGAGTCCTCACCCCACCCCCATATCGTTCAAGCCACAAAAGCTCTTCCCACCTGCCTGAAGTTCCAAGAACTCACTCTTTTTGCTTGTTTCCAGGAAGTCGTTCCAGGGTCTAGAGTCATAGCCACTTCCTCATTATGTCTGGAAACTTTAAAAAAATTAGAAAGCATAGGTTCCTTTCCAGTCCACAGAGAGGCCTGGCCTTACCTTGGGGAAGGGCCACTCCCAGGCCCCCTTCACTTTTTATTTATTTATTTATTTATTTATTTATTTATTTATTTATTTTGAGACAGAGTCTTGCTCTGTCGCCTAGGCTGGAGTGCAATGGTGCAATCTTGGCTCACTGCAACCTCCGTCTCCCGGGTTCAAACAATTCTCTTGCCTCAGCCTCCCAAGTAGCTGGAACTGTAGGCATGTGCCACCATGCCAGGCTAATTTTTGTGTTTTTAGTAGAAACAGGGTTTCACCATGTTGGCCAGGCTGATCTCGAACTCCTGGCCTCAAGTGATCCACCCACCTCGGCCAAAGTGCTGGGATTACAGGTATGAGCCACCATGTCCCGCCCCTCTTCACTTTTATTCATTCATTCATTCAATATCTAATGAGCACCTACCAGGTACCAAGCACCAGATGATGCGCCCAAGTGCATTAGACCCCACTGCTGTCTTCAAGGCACTCATGATCTAGGCCAGCGTTTCTTAACCATTTTGTTGTTGTTGTTGTTTTTTATTTTTTTGAGATTCTGGCAAGAGCTATAAATTCTTTCTTAGAAAAACATCTCTGCACACTAAGCTGTGCCTGGCATTGGGAAAAAGAAAGCACGTACTGTAACTGACAGCATGAGTAACACAATGAAAAGCGTTGGAGGAGAGAGCGCCAGGACCCCAAAACTCAGGCATTAGAGGAGCCCGTTTCCCAGCCCTCCTTGAGATTTCCTTGGGCAGGTTTCACTAAGGAAAAAGTGTCAAATCCCCTTTTTGAATTCGACTTCTTGTAAGTGCCAAAAGACTGCCCCTTCTCTACTATCCCTGCGCCACCACCATCTTTCCCTCCCAAGGCACTGATACCCAGTACCCCAATCCCCAGGGCCCTGGGGACCCAGCCTTTGGCAAAGCCTCCTCAGGCTTGGATCAGGCCTGAACCCAGCTGTCTCTGCCCCCAGGAAACATACCGATGTGTTCAACTGGAAGGTGCGGGCCGGCTCAGACAAACTGGGCAGTTTCCCATCCCTGGCTGTGGCCAAGATCATCATCATTGAATTCAACCCCATGTACCCCAAAGACAATGACATCGCCCTCATGAAGCTGCAGCTCCCACTCACTTTCTCAGGTGAGAAGCAGGGCCTGAGGCCACCCAAGCCCCTTCCATGAGTTTTCACATCCACTCTGCTGTTAGCTCACTGAGTGACCTTGGCACATAATTTCTCCTCTCAAGACCTCAGCTTGCCCATTTGTCTGTAACTAATATGTCAGCCTAACATCACTGATGCCATGAGGCCTCCTCAAGCTGTCAGCTAACACCTCCACTCCATTCCATGCTGGAGATTCTTCCAAGGCCTGTCTTCCCTATGTGGAGCCCCTCAATGGAGAACTGGAGTTTCATCCGATCTTAGAGTTTTAGGAGACCTTTTAAAAAGATCATCGAGCTCATTCCCCACCACTGACCAATACCCAAGAGCCTGCTCAGTATCCCTGCCAAGGAGTCCTGTTTGCTCTCCTCCAGGGGCAGGGAACCCATTACCTGTGAAGCAGCCTGCAGAGTCTTTGAACAGCTCTGTTGGATGCCTTGTGCTTATATTGAAATGTATTTAGATCAGCATTCCCAACTGTGGGGTCCGTAAGACACTGGCCCCTTGGAGAGGAGAGGATTCCATTGTCAAATAAGTTTGGGAAGCATTTTAATACTACAGCTCCCTTCTTGGAGCACATTAGTTTATTAAAGGTATGAGAAATTTTTAAAATAATCTGTTTTATTGCATAAATTTTCTAAATTTATTTGACCACAGAATCCTTTTTTCATGCCACTTCTACTAGCATCCCATGGAACAAGTGTTCTAGAGACCCTGGTGTGACCCTTTTCAGAGAGCTTAACTGCCAGGCTCTCCTGAACCCTGGGGTATGTTTCAAGATTTGTGCCTGGGAATTGTTTTAATCAGGTATGGTAAGGTGACAGATACAGACACAACTAACTTTGAAAGAAGAGTTTATTATTTATAGCTTCTGAGAGAAACCCCCACAACACAGGGACACCTGGGGAGCAGCTGGGTCCACCAGGAGACAGGAGTGAGGGGAAGGCATGGCCCAGAACCACCCGTGGCTTCCATGGGCAGGTCTGGCCAAGGTAGGGAAGGCAAGATTGAGCATGCTTGGGATTGGATAGTGTGGACAATTCTCTAGGCTATAGAGGTCAGCCTCTGGTTGTCTAGTCTCTGTCCCTGGGGTGATTTAGGGCAGGGAAAATATTGGCTTGGTGTCTGAGAGTCAGATAAAGGAAATGGTTGGGGATACGGGCTTTGGGTTGGCTGGTTTGCCTATTAAAGGCATGCCCAGAGCCAAGTTGCTTACTATCTGCAGGAATTAGCTAACCCAGTCTCTCCCAGACCAGCAAGATCCCCATAATCATAAAGCATCATAATTTACAGAAAATTAACAATTATGATGAATAAAAGATCTCCTTCTTCCTTTGTGCTCCTGGCAGGCACGGTCAGGCCCATCTGCCTGCCCTTCTTTGATGAGGAGCTCACTCCAGCCACCCCACTCTGGATCATTGGATGGGGCTTTACAAAGCAAAATGGAGGTAAGTCCTGGGTGCAGGACCCCAGGGCAGGAGATGCCCATGTATAAGGGAGCAGCTTCCAGAAGTGATGGGAAGGAGGACCATCCTTCAGAGAAACCCATCCCAGAGGACCAAGCACCAAGGCGCCAGGCAGAAAGCAAAGTGGTTTGGCAATCCAGGGCTGGGGGATAGAAGGCAAGCATGGGAATGTGAGTGTTTTTACCCTCCCAGGGAAAATGTCTGACATACTGCTGCAGGCGTCAGTCCAGGTCATTGACAGCATACGGTGCAATGCAGACGATGCGTACCAGGGGGAAGTCACCGAGAAGATGGTGTGTGCAGGCATCCCGGAAGGGGGTGTGGACACCTGCCAGGTGGGGCCTCCAGGAATCATGGGGAGTTCTAGGAATAGGGTTTAGGTTCTAGAGAAATGAGAAAACCCAGAGGCTGCATGCCCCACAGGAAGCCTTGCATATCACGGGCACTCAATGTGTGATTATGGGAGGAAGAAAGGGAGGGAAGGAAAGGATACAGTCAGATAAAGATGTACGAATAGATGAGTGGGTGGATGGATGGATGCAGACAATCAGAGAATCTCTTTCACATTCAAAGATGATGTTACCGGCTGGGTGTGGTGGCTCACATTTGTAATCCCAGCACTTTGGGAGGGTGAGGCGGGCAGGGAAGGTGATTTGAGGTCAGGAATTCAAGACCAGCCTGGCCAACATGGTAAAACCCCATCCCTGCTAAAAAGAATACAAAAATTAGACGGGTATGGTGGTGCACCTGTAACCCTAGCTACTTGAGAGGTTGAGGCAGGAGAATTGCTTGAACCCAGGAGGCAGAGGTTACAGTGAGCCAAGATTGCGCCACTGCACTCCAAGCCTGGGTGACCCAGCAAGACTCCATCTAAAAACAACAACAACAAAGATTACATTACTCATCCTCCCCACCCACTCTTCTCACTAGCTACGGAATGATTAGCCCCTTGAGGTCAGGAATCCCAGATCTATTTTCTCTGTGATTGTCCCCAAGCTGCTGAACTACACTAGGAAAGAACTACCACCTGCAGGATGCTGGAAGAGTCCCCGTGCGTGCCCCTCACCCTGGCCTCATTGGCCATCAGGACTGTTTAGCAATCCCTGTAGACCTTCTTCCTCCCCCATACTTCCAGAGGATCATCTGAACCATTTTCTTTTTTTCTATTTTTTCTTTTATGTTTTTTAATAGAGATAGGGTCACTGTGTTGCACCAATCTGGTCTCAAACTCCTGGGTTCAAGGATTTTCCCATGAGCCGTCGTGCTTGGCCTGAACCATTTTCATTAAAACCCCTACCCTACTCTCACCTCCATTTCCAGTTATTAAATTCCTTCACTTAAGAGGCATCTCTTAGTCATCGCTTGTGTACCATGAACATGGTAGTCTTTGGAGACCCCTCAGGGATCTCACACTGGTTGGGAGAAAGGGGGTAGCATTAAACAGGCATTTAGGCTAGTTTTGGGTTCAGAGGGAGGAAGCCCCAGGGGCTAAAGGAGCTGATAAGGACTCCCAGATAAGTGCACTTTTCACTATCTGGCATTTTCTTGTTTTGTTATTTGCTTGTTCACTGTCTCTCACCCTATTTGATCCTAAGCTTTCTGAGGGCAGGGATCTTTTGGTTTTTTTTATCAGTTGGATCCCAATTGCTTAGAACACTACCTGGCACAAAATAGGCACTCTATAAGTAATTAAATAAATTGTGGAACTACTAGGTTAAACAACGATAACCAGGCTTTTTTTTTTCTGAGACTGAATCTCATTCTGTTGCCCAGGCTAGAGTGCAGCGGTTTGATCTCAGCTCACTGCAGCCTCCGCCCCTTGGTCCGAGTGATTCTCCACCTCAGCCTCCTGAGCAGCTGGGATTACAGGCGCCTGCCACTATGCCCAGCTCATTTTTGTATTTTTAGTAAAGACAAGGTTTCACCATGTTGGCCAGGCTGGTCTCGAACTCCTGACCTTGAGTGATTCACCCGCCTCAGTCTCCCAAGATGCTGGGATTACAGGCGAGAGCCACCGCGCCTGGCCAATAACCAGACTTTTTTTACAGCATCTCTCAGAACCTTTAATTTGCTAATGTGAGCTGTGAATCTCTGACAGAAGGCTAACAGCACGCTTGCAACTTACTTGCCCACAGACAAGCCCTTCTGCCCCAGAAGAGAAGAGCATTCCAGGGTGCTAATGAGCAAAGAGGGTGAGGGTGGAACATCGGAGGGCAGCAGGGAGTTCAGGGGAACAGACGGGCCAGTTCAGGAAGCCGGGAAGGAGAAGCCCCCCCCAACCTCACCTGCCCTCCCCAGCAGTCTCTGTTCTGGTCTCTCACAGGGTGACAGTGGTGGGCCCCTGATGTACCAATCTGACCAGTGGCAGGTGGTGGGCATCGTTAGCTGGGGCTATGGCTGTGGGGGCCCGAGCACCCCAGGAGTGTACACCAAGGTCTCAGCCTATCTTAACTGGATCTACAATGTCCGCAAGGTAAGGCACCTTTGCCGTACCCACTGTGCCTTCCCTCCTGTCCTCTACCCGGGAGGTGCCAATCCATCCTCAGGTTTGATTTAAATGGCTCTGACAACTCTTTACATCCCAAATAACTTTCCCTCCAAGCAAGGGACAGCCTGAGATTGCACTATTAAGGCTGAAATTCCTTAGGTCAGAGATTTCTGTTAAATGCAAATACCTTAGGGAATAGAACACACCAAGCCTTTCTTTCTCTTTTCTGACAGAATGAGACTATCAGATCCTTTCTAGTGAGAAGATTCTGATAAGGAAGAGAGTGGAAAGGCTCATGAGACCTCCTGGTCCTCTGCAGGGTAGGGAGAGAAGCAAAATGCCTCAGAAAAGGAAGACTCATTTTGCACATGTCACCACTTTGTCCAGTTTCAAATAATCTGAGTTTCTCTTCATCGGTCTCTCTTATTCTAGGCTGAGCTGTAATGCTGCTGCCCCTTTGCAGTGCTGGGAGCCGCGCCCTTCCTGCCCTGCCCACCTGGGGATCCCCAAAGTCAGACACAGAGCAAGAGCCCCCTTGGGTACACCCCTCTGCCTACAACCTCAGCATTTCTTGGAGCAGCAAAGGGCCTCAATTCCTGTAAGAGACCCTCACAGCCCAGAGGCGCCCAGAGGAAGTCAGCAGCCCGAGCTCAGCCACACTTGGTGCTCCCAGCATCCCAGGGAGAGATGCGGCCCACTGAACACGCCAGCCTGCAGGCCAAGGTCTCAGGGGTATTGCTAAGCCGAGAAGGAACTTTCCCACACTACTGAATGGAAGCAGGCTGTCTTGTGAAAGCCCAGATCACTGTGGGCTGGAGAGGAGGAGGAAAGGGTCTGTGCCAGCCCTGTCCGTCTTCACCCATCCCCAAGCCTACTGGAGCAAGAAACCAGTTGTAATATAAAATGCACTGCCCTACTGTTGGTGTGATTACTGTTACCGACTGTTGTTATTGTTATTACAGCTATGGCCACTATTCTTAAAGAGCTGTGTGACATCTCTGGCATGGGCTAGCTGGAATGCTTGATAAGAACTGAGCTTGTTGGCCGGGCGCGGTGGCTCACGCCTGTAATCCCAGCACTTTGGGAGGCCGAGACGGGCGGATCACGAGGTCAGGAGATCGAGACCATCCTGGCTAACACGGTGAAACCCCGTCTCTACTAAAAACTACAAAAAACTAGCCGGGCGAGGTGGCGGCGCCTGTAGTCCCAGCTACTCGGGAGGCTGAGGCAGGAGAACGGCGGGAACCCGGGAGGCGGAGCTTGCAGTGAGCTGAGATCCGGCCACTGCACTCCAGCCTGGGTGACAGAGCGAGACTCCGTCTCAAAAAAAAAAAAAAAAAAAAAAAAAAGAACTGAGCTGGGACCATTGAACCTTCATTCTTTGACTTGCGGAGAAAAAAAGTTCTGGGGAAGCAATTGAGTCTCAAAGTAGAGGCAGGGGAAAAAAGAGTTAGGGAGACCAGATCTGCTGAGTGGCAGCAAGAGTGAGCTGCAGATTAGAGAAGCCAGGGTGAGCAAGTTTCATTCCCACACAGGGCCTTCTCCCTTTGCTTCTTTCCCTCCCTCCCTGCCTGTGATCATCAGCCAGGAGCCAGGGATAACTTATTCCTTGGGAAGGAGATGAGTTAGGCAGTCAAGGGTGACGTTCGATCAGGGATGCCCAAGTGGCTGGAAAGAAATGATGGTCCTGTGTCCTAACTTTTTCCACCCGGAGAGCCCTCAGGGTGGCTTCTTACATTTAAAAAACAAAAGGGATCAGCTGCCGGGTATGAGGCAGTTCCCAAGCTGGGTTGTGAGGATGTAAGCATGAATAAGTCCCTGCACTCAAAATGGTCAAAGAATTAAGCCCCATGGACTTTTTTGGCAGCTGTGTGAAAGACTGGGTTTTCTGAGGACTCTCTTGCTATAGTTAAGTCAGATCCTAGATGAAATATACTTGTTCATATTGTACTAGGTTCTTAGGAAACAACAGAATTTCTCAAATGCCAAAAACAAAGAAAATAGAAACCCAGAAAACAAAACTATCAGAACTGTGAGCGGAAACTAAGGTGATGATCTGGGAGCAATAAACTAAAATCTTGGGTCGAGACCTATATGGAGGAGGCTGGCAGTGGAGTTAAACCTGGACACGCTGCAGACAAGGGAGCTGAACCAGGGCTCCTACATGAAGCAGAGATAACTGATGGCAATAAAGGTGGTCTCAAATTGCAGATGGTCTGGAGGAAAATATCTCAAATTTAGAGCCTCAGGATTCCCAAAGATCCTCCAAATATGAACTCACAATCAAAGATCAGAGATGTTGAAAAATAAAAAACATCTTAAGTGGGCAGCATAAAAAAACAAGCTAATTTAGAACCCCAAAGGCTTCAGATGTCAGAATATTACAGACTTATAATAATAAGCAATATTTACAGAGTATTTGTATGTGCCAGACACTACTGTAAGTGCTTCATCACGTACTGATTCATTTAATACTCGCAGAAATCTATGAGATAGGTATTATTCTTATCCTCACTTGATGGATTAAAAAAACTAAGGCACAATGGGGTTAAGCTCCTTGCTTGAGGTTATAGACTGTAAGTTGAACATGAGCACTTGGAATACAGAGTCTTGCTGTAAACTACCACACTATACCAATATGATAATTTATAAAATATTTAAATAAAAAATGAATACTAGTTCCACATTTTAAAATTATGTTTAACTGTGGTCAAATGCACATAACACAAGTTGCCATCTTAACCATTTTTAAGTGTATAGTTCAGTGGTGTTATGTACATTCACATTGTTGTGCAGTCATCACCACCATCCATCTCCAGAATAGAAACTCAGTACTCATCAAACAACTCTCCATTTCCCCTCCTCCCAATCTCCGGCAACTGCCATTGTGCTTTCAGTCTCTGTGAACTGGATTACTCTGGGTACCTCATTTAAGTGCAGTCATGCAGTATTTGTCTTTTTGGACTTGTTTTATTTCACTTCACATTGTGTCTTCAAGTTTCACCCATGTTGTAGCATATGTCAGAATTTCCTCCCTTTTTAGACCGAATAATATTATATTGTTTATACCATATTTTGTTTATCCATTCATCCACTGATGAACATTCAGGTTACTTCTATCTTTTGGCTGTTGTGAATAATGCTGCTATGAACATGGGTGTGCAAATATCTCTTTGAGGCCCTGCTTTCAATTCTCTTGGGTATATTCCCAGAAGTGGAATTGCTGGATCATATGGTAATTCTATTTTGAATTTTTTGAAGAACCGATATATTGCTTTCCACAGAGACTGCACCATTTTACATTCCCATCAACAGTTTACAGGAGTTACTATTTCTCCATATCCCCCCCAACACTTGTTATTTTCTGTTAAAAATGGGTATCTTAATAATCAAGCAAAAATAACAGGCAGATTTGAAAAAGAACCAAATAGAGCTTTTAGAAATAAAAATTATAATTATAAAAATAAAAAACTAAGTGGATGGGGTAAATTACATTTAAAACACCAATTAAGAGAGAACAAATGAACTGGAAGATAAGTTGAAGAAGTGACTAGGCTTAACAGCAGACAGAGATAAGGAGATTAAAACTATGAAAACAAGGCCAGGAGCAATGAAGCCTAGAATGGTAAACTCTAACATATCCAGAGTCCCAGAAAGAAAACATCAAGACAATGAGAGAGAGACAATATCTAAAGAGGTAAGAGCTGAGAATGTTCCAGAACTGATGAAAGGTGTGAATCCACAGAACATACACCACCATAGTGTACACATATACAACCAAGGTGGAAAAATTAGAATAAATCCACACCTATGTACATTATAATGAAACTGCAGAACACCAAAGACAATAAGAAACTCTTTACAGCAGGAGAAAGAAAACCCAGACCACCCACAGTACCACAAATCTACCACAATTAGACTGACAACAGGCTTTCCCACAGCAATAAAGGAGCTAGAAGTCAGTGGAAGTATATCTCCAGCATGCCAAAAGATAACAATCAATCAAGGATTGTGAACCCTACAAAACTATCTTTCAAGAATAAAGGCATTTTCTTTTTTTTTTTTTTTTTTTTTGAGACAGAGTTTTGCTCTTGTTGCCCAGGTTGGAGTGCAGTGGCGCGATCTCGGCTCACTGCAAGCTCCGCCTCCCAGGTTCACGCCATTCTCCTGCCTCAGCCTCCCGAGTAGCTGGGACTACAGGCGCCCACCACCTCGCCCGGCTAGTTTTTTGTATTTTTTTAAGTAGAGACGGGATTTCACCGTGTTAGCCAGGATGGTCTCGATCTCCTGACCTCATGATCCGCCCGTCTCGGCCTCCCAAAGTGCTGGGATTACAGGCTTGAGCCACCACACCCGGCCAATAAAGGCATTTTCAAGAAAACAAAAACAGATTTTACCATCAACAAACCTTCTCTAAAAGAATATATAAAGCATTTACTTTAGGAAGAAGGAAAATGATCCTAAAAGGAAGAATCAAGAAGCAAGAAGGAATAGTGAGGCAATTGCGAAAATGTAGATAAGTCTAAACACATTCTGTCTACTTATTATTATTATTATTATTATTATTATTTGAGACCGAGTCTTGCTCTGTCACCCAGACTGGACTGCAGTGGCAGGATCTTGGCTCACTGCTACCTCCACCTCCCAGGTTCAAACGATTCTTCTGCCTCAGCCTCCCAAGTAGCTGAGATTACAGGCACATGCCACCATGCTCGGCTAATTTTTGAATTTTTAGTAGAGATGGGGTTTCACTGTGCTAGCCAGGCTGGTCTCAAACTCCCAACCTCAAGTGATCCACCTGCCTCGGCCTCCCAAAGTGCTGGGATTACAGGCGTGTCTACATATTATTAAAATAACAATAATATCTATTTTGTGGGTTAATTTTTTAAAACAGATATTGAATTTATTGGTTGGCTATGAGTAGAAAAATACATAGGTAAAGAAAAAAGACCCTGTATATAAATACAATACTAGCTAGTTACAATTTGACCAAGAAGTTTCCATTGTAGGTTAATTTTTAAAGGCCTAACAAATATGGAGTAACAACAGCATGCAGCATGTAAATTAAAGGGGATAGCTGGAGTTAAAATATTCTAAAGTTCTTAAGCCTGTAATCCCAGCACTTTGGGAGGCCGAGATGGGGGGATCACAAGGTCAGGAGATCGAGACCATCCTGGCTAACCCGGTGAAACCCCGTCTCTACTAAAAAATACAAAAAAACTAGCCAGGCAAGGGGGCGGGCGCCTGTAGTCCCAGCTACTCGGGAGGCTGAGGCAGGAGAATGGCATAAACCCGGGAAGCGGAGCTTGCAGTGAGCTGAGATCCGGCCACTTTACTCCAGCCTGGGTGACAGAGCAAGACTCCGTCTCAAAAAAAATAAAAATAAAAATAAAGTTCTTAAATTGTTCAAGAGGAAGATTAAATATTAATGCTATGTTACATAAAATGTTTGTACTATGTTCTAGATGGTTAAAAGGGTAATTAACAAAAGAATGCAAATAAAAGTGTGTCACTTCCAAAACAATTGAAAGTAGCAATTGATTAATAAAAAACAAAAAACACCAAGCAAGCACAAAAGAGAAAGGTGGGGAAGGAAGAGCACTAAGGAGGGTAAAGCACAGAAAAATGGAACAAATAGAATATACAAAGAGGGATGGTGAAAAAAGTACTAATATAATATCACAATAAATGTTAAATTCACCAAATAGTATACGGAAATAGGCAAATTGGATAAAAACGTAAGAGCATGCTATATGTTATTTGTAACAAACATACACAAAACACCAGGTTACAGAACCATTAAAACTGAAAAGATGGAGAAAAATACAGAGAGCAAGCATTCAATCAAATTTAAGCGGGGGTAGCTGTATAATATTTTTCTAAATAAGGATTTAGGACAAAAAGACAAAACTGACTTTAGGATAAAGAGAGTCACTACATAATCACGAAAGTTTCAATTCACTAGTAAGCTATAATAAGTGAAAACTTGTAAACAAAG